CCAATAATTACTGGTACCATACTAAAGGTTTGGAATTTGTTACGCTGCAAAAAGCAATAGCAGAGATATATTTTTCAGTGCTAAAGGCAACTTAACTGATGGGGAATATTTATGAACCCGCCTCTAACAGTTCAAATGACTGGGGAAATGTTATTAATTCCCAACCCGGTCTGAATCCGACTTAATTGACAAAGTGGGTTCTCACTTAGTTGGGTGTATGCCATGTAGGGAAAAGAAGTAACATCTCAATGGTCAAACCACTATACCAAAACCAACATTCCTGCCTGAAATACACTTCCTATTAGTTGACCTTGAAGTGATAATGACGGTTGTGTATGATGCATTTCTTAAGGTAACCCCACCATATAAAGAGATTTCAATGGTGATATGTAATACCCAATTTTACTGGAGGGGGTGGAACAAGGGGAGGAAAACTGACATGAAGTTAGTGAAATTAGTTAAAATACAAAGACTATGTGGCCACAGTAAATCCAAACATAAGTCATGAAAACATTGTCACACTGTGTGACATCTTGGAAGTCAACACATGAGAAAACACTGGAAGTCAAAACACCTCCATTATTTTGGTAGCATTCTAATGCCAAACAGGCATAGTGCTGAGCTCTGAGCATTAGTCAAGTGGCAAACTTACAAGAAATCTAGGGCTAAAGAAATGCTGTGAGGGGAACTGGCCTCAGGGAAAGCAAGAGCTCAGTAACTCAGTCTTACTGTGTATACACAGTACAATCAATTTGCTTTTTTTTAAAAAAACAAAATTTAAGGTGACTTGATGAACAGCTATAATTGGGGTGTTGATGCTCAACCATCTTGAGAGTGGGGAGCGGAGGAGGGCTTAGGATTCGTTCACGCAGCGTTACTACCCTGTGTCTGTGGGCTTTCCCCCATTGGGATCATTGAAATAATGATCAATGCCTGTTCCATTATTTAACTGGTGCAATCGCGCCACACTATACATTAGCACCATGATAGACACAATATGATCAGTGCACAGTCTAGTGCGGTGGAACAATATGGGTCTTGCACTAAGGGGAGGACAATCTCAAAATAATTATGATCTGTACTCTACAAAGCAGTCGGATTATAGTGATGGGTTCAATTGTGTAAAGCCGAACTATCACAAACCACACAGAATAAAAGCGACTGTGAAGATATACTGCCCCAATATTGCCAAGGTCAAGCCATCACAAGCCATAAGCTTTTATTTTTAGAAAAACAATGACAGATTGTAAATCCATTGAAATAAAGACATCTCCCCCCTCCCTTTAAAAAAGACAGGGAGGCAGATTAACCCCCACCTCATATGCAAATCTAACAGAGTGCCACTGGAAAGAAGTGACACTTGTCAAGTCCCCTGCTTCAAAACGCTGGTTTATAATGCCACAGGGGTCACGATTATTAAAGAGCCCCTGTGAACTATTCATCTTTTTAATCCAAATTCCAAAACACCACAATCACTGCACCAATTAAATATGTATTTGCTTTCCATCCACAACTTGGATTTTTTTTAATGTTCTTCATCCCTGCCGCCACCAAACAACAGCCTTGGATATTAAAAACATCGAGGGATTTTAACTGTAAACCCATTCATCTTTCATTAAAAAAGACACTTTAATCCTGGACAGCTCATCTGTGCACAAAAAGTGACACCAATTCTGAACACTACATTTCAACCAAGGTACAAGTACTAAATGCGAATGAGGATTGCAATTTCTTTTTGAAAACTGTACCTCTGCCTCGCTCAAATCTTTATGTGTTTGGTTTACCACACAGGAACCATAATGTTGGTAGTGTTACCCTCCTCTCGGTTAAAATGAATTAAACTGTTGGATTACTCAGGTGCAATAAAATCAATCTTTCCATCAAAACAGCAATGAATCAAGGTATTCGACATTTCTCTAAAATTCAACATCCTCCAAACCCCAATCTGACTTTAAAATCCAAATCATTAAAACCTGTTCACTTCTGATTCTGATAACATATAAGGGAGACTGGAATTATGTTTGCAAGCAACATTGGCGAGTACGATATGAGCTTTGTAGTCAATCTGTAATAGATGCTGAACAGTCATACAGCATCTGAACGCAACTGTGTAGAATATTTGGAGGAGGTGTGATAGACGAAAAAGCAAAACAAGAACTTTCAAACTACAAAAACACAGGACAGGCTGGAGCTAGTCTCCAGTTTACACACAAGAAAACCCTATCCAATCCCAGGCTTTATCCAGTTACCTCCCAGCAATGGTCTGTCTGTCAGCGTGTTTCTTTCTGCATCTTCTGAGGAAGACAGCTCGCCAAAGCTTCAAAAAAAAAGTCTTCAATGTGCATTCTTGCAGAAAAAAATGTTTGGAAATGAATGGAGAAAGACTGAGAGGGTTGTGTGTGTGTGTGTGTGTGTGTGTGTGAGAGAGAGAGAGAGAGAGAGAGAGACCTGGTCAGTACTGATGTTTGCCTTTAATAAACGCACTGCACAGTTCATTCTCATACAATGGTAAATCTGTGCAGAAAGGATCCACACCGACTAAATTAACTGGGAGACTTGCTCCGAGGCTCCTGATGTCGGGAAATATATATTCGGGAGCAGTTTGGGGGTGGGGGGGTGGGGGTGGGTGCATGTGGGTATGTGCATGGATGGGACACAGTTTCTAAGAATTCAGAGCAAACAACATCTCATCCCAATTCATGGCAGCAGGTCCGACAACAAGCAGGTTACATAAACAGCCAAATGTAAACAACCCGCAGCTTCACTCTTATTAAACCTGCACATAATGACCCGAAAACTAACCACCATCGATTCCTGGGGTGGGGGGGGGGGGGGAGCTGTATCTGGTTTAATGTAAACCAGCTCACCTTGCATTTTCACACAATGATGCAAAAACGTACATTTGTTTTTCACCCATTTTGATGAGCAAAATGCAAGTTTAGCATTATGTCTCTGCGGTCCGTGTATTTATGCATATGAGGGGAGGGGGGATGTATGCTTCTGTGCAGTTTCTTCTCTCCCCCCCACCCCCCTCACTCTCACACACACGTTTGAATGAATTAAAACGCCACAAGCCTTGGTCCATGTGGTGTTGTCTGAATGCCAAGTGCTTTCGGCAGCATTGCATAAAGCAGCCCTTTCTCCGACCCTGAATGTCCTCTTAAAAATATCTTCTGCCCCGAACTTAAATCGCCTTCGTTTCGAGGGACCGACTGTGAACGATTAAAATCAGATTCCCAGCCGCTGGTCATCACGCACGTCTGCAGCAGACAGGGACTCGGTACAAATGCAATCGTTACCATTTCATTCATGTTTTTCTTTCTCTTCCCCCCACCCCCTCCCTCCCTCCCTCCCTCTCCTTTCAGGATTTTTTTTTTTTAAATTTTTTTGTGCATCATCGCACTTCATGCTGGTGAGGAAGATAAAACCCTTAAAGCATAAGCTCAGTAACTGTGGGCCCTGCCTTCAGCAGTGCACTCGGCTCATAAACAACCTGAACGTCAGGAGGAAAGGTGACATTTTAATCTGGTTATGAAAACAAATACGTAAAACGATGAGCCCTGACGTGAAGCAATTCTTGAAACCAGGGAGCTTTGCACGTACCGAACACAAACGCACACAAAATACAGATAGCAACCAGACATCAGCACAAAGACGCCTTTGCTTCCACCTTCAAGTTCAACCCCTACACAAACAAATGCGGCATATCAGAGCCATTCATGTTTGCAGCCTTTTCCTCCCAGTCCGAGCCATGTCGTACACGTCGCATGAATGCACACGTCAACATTCAGAACTTGTTTGCGTATTTTTTTTGAAACAAATGCAATGCTTTACGCAGCACCATTGCACATTATATACAACCATGTTGCCAATCTGCAGTGAAAGCTCTCTGTTGGAGCAATTGCTCGTGGCAAAACACTGAAGTGTGCCATGGAAATGGTGAAAATATGGATTTACCACCTCGAACAGTGAGTGGGGGGGGTTGGTTTAAAAGAAAAGCAGAAAACGCTTTAATCTTTTGCAAGCGATGGATTTTTACAGGTTTGGTCCTTGAAACTTAGTGTGTTTTTTTTTCTTTTGGCTCATAGTATTCGTGCTTCTGATTGAGAGGGAAGCAGAATCTGACCTGATGGTCACCACGCCTCCAGCAGCCAGATGCCAGCAAAACACTTTTTGTGGAAGGAAGAAACATGAAAGCTGACGGTACCACAAAGTGACATTTGAGGTGCGAAAAAAAAATGCTTTCAGTAACGGAAAGAGCATCCGAACAGACCCCGACACCAGCCCCGGGATTGCATATGGTTATTTTGAGTCAGTGTTATATAATATATGCTCTGTACTTGTGCATTTTGATCCGCTGAAAAGATAAAAGCTGAAATAATGCTGAAATAATAAGAGTTCCCCCGGGGGGGGAGGGGGGAGGGGGAGGGGGACATTCTTCAACTCCTTTCTGTGTCAATAAATAGACGAAAACAAAAGCTAAATCGCTACAGTTTAGATCCTCTTCCGCACGAACGAAAACACGAGCGCTCCGATCCCCGCGGCTCTGTCACCGCTCCCGGACCCCGGACCCCGGACCCCCTCTCATTCAACACAGAAACACACCATTGCAGTCTGTCTCCCAACGCGCACATCTGTGAGAGACCACAACAGCGCTCCACCCTCCGGGGCTCAGTGCTTCTGGTGCAGCTCTGCAAACTGGGAGTTTATTAACCGAGTCAATGAGCGCATCTCAGTGATCTTTCACTGTGGCTTATTTACACCCCTCCAACACACACACACACACACACATATATATAGATATATATGTATATATGATACAGTATATATATATAGCAACATTTAGCGATCCTGATCGGCAGTGCTGTACACAGCATAAACAAAGCCGAGCTCTGCTTTGCGGACAGAGCGGAAAAACAACCTGATTTACCGGGAGAGTGCAGCACAGTGCGGGGCTGTGCGGGGTGATACCGGGGGGGGGGGGGGGGCAGACGGTGTACCTTTGCAGACCGGGGAGCTGGGGCTCCTTCTCTCAGGTGAGCTCCTGTTGTCAGGGGAGCGTCGGTGTCTCACGCGTCCATCGGCGGCGGCGGCGGTGGCGGCGGCGGCCGGAGCCCAGAGCGGAGTGGGCGAGGAGGTGGGCGAAGGCTTTTGGCTGTTGGACGCGGTGGATGTGGCGGCTGTTGAGGTCGAGGTGGTCGCTGTTGATGCTGGAGCAGGAGAGGAGGAGGAGGAGGAGGAGGAAGCGGCCGCGGCTGTGGCTGTGGCCGGTGCCGGGGAGCAGGGGGAGCGGGTGGGGCTGCTGTTTCCCTGCCGCAGCTGGAAGGGGACCGTGGCCCTGATGGGCTGCAGGCGGTTGGAGGTCGGAGAACCGTTGCGCCGCACTCGCTGGGAAGCGGGTTGCGAGGACATGGCGAGCGGGGCGGCGGCGGCGGCTTCTTCCTCCGAATTTGCAAATGATTTCAGAACGAGGAAGAGAGGAGGGAGAGTGGGAGAGAGAGTGGGAGAGAGAGAGAGAGAGCGCAGGAGGTGGCGGCGGCTGAACAAAAAAAAACTATATAAAAAACACAATTCTAGCAAAAAAAAATGTCCGGAATCCCGAGTCCTCTCTGCACTGCACGAGGAGAGAGGGGGAGGGAGGGAGGGAGGGAGGGGGGGAGAAGTGGGGGGGATCCCCGGCACCTTCACCGGCGACAACACATAATACCTTATTGTTTATAGCCGCCGCCGCTCTCTTCCCTCTGCAGACACCGCGGGGCGATGTGGGGACTTTATAGGAATGGGGAGGGAGGCGGGTGGGGGGGGGGTGGGTGTATTTTTTGGGGTGATGGTAGTGGGGGGGAGGGTCTCCCTTACAGTTGTTGCTGCTTTTTTTTTGGGGGGGGGGTGGGGGGAGTGTGGAGAGCGATGAAAAGAGCAAAAATCCGGTGGTGTTGTTGGTGCTGCGAGTGAGTGAGTGAGAGAGAGAGAGAGAGAGAGAGAGAGAGCGGCTGCTGAGAGAGCACAGTCTGTGTGTGTGTGTGTGGGGGTGTGTGGGTGTCTGTGGTGGAGGTGCACGAGCTGCTCCCGGGCCCGGCGCCGCGCGCCTCTGATTGACAGCTCAGCTCATCTCCCCCCTCCATCCCATCCCCAGCGCCGTGCGAGTGGGGGGGGGAGGAGCCCTTTGATCGACAGCCGCCCGAGCCAATCAGTCCCCCACCTCCTCCCCGAGATTGACAGCCGCGTCTCCGCCCCCTCCGCAAAGCACCGTCCAAGCTGGGCGGTGCCACAGACCGGGGCAGGGGGGCGGGGCTGCACTGCGCCAGCGGCCGCCTGCCATTGGCCTTCAGCGCAACCCGCGGGCCGCCCCCGCCCCCCCCCAGGGTGATTGACGGGCCCGCGCTCCTATCAGGGCGGCCAGCGCTCTCACGCGCGTGGTCGCTTTCGCGTCCAATCAGCAGGCGGGAAAGCGGGGAGGGGGGCGTGGTTTGGGGGGCGTGTGACCAGCCCCCTCTGACTGACGGGACAATGTGTGGGACCGCGCTCAGTGACTGACAGCAGCATGTTCCAGTCAGTCAGTGCAGCACCACCTCCAGACCTCCGGAGGGGGCAGTGTTTGACATACATGGCATTAGTAATGAAGTTGAATAAAATGTATTAGAAACTGGAGGGTTTCTTTCCTCTTAGCTCAACCCCCCCCACACACACACACACACACACACACCTTTCCGGTTATCCTGCCCCATATTTCCTCCTTATTCAAGTTCACTCAAAATTCAAATGATCAGTAATCCTTGCATCTGATGTGGAGCCTTATCATGTTGTGGAGGCGTCTCAAAGCGCTTCACAGAATATACTGTGAAGTGTGCATCCGTTCCCCTCACCGAGGACACTTTTTCCCGCCTCCATCACATTGACCGCCTCCGTCCATACCTCACAACCAACGCAGTCGAAACCCTCGCCCACGCCTTCGTCACTTTCCCAGCTGGACTATGCCAACGCCCTCCTCGCTGGTCTCCCCAGCTCCACCATACATAAAATGCCATTAACTCAAAACTCCACTGCCCGGTCTCAACAAAGACACCTGTAGTTCCGACTGTCTTCACATGTCAGTCCATTGAAGAAGGAGCACCTGAAACGGAAAGACATTGCATTCCTGGTGAAAGAGATCTGGATGGAGGTGAATATTAGGTGTTGCTCATTTGGAATGGTAATATTATAATATATAGTCTAGAAGAACCCTTGCTGGCAAGCTGCTCAGTGGTTCTAGCTAATATTAAACATTTGAAAGTTTGCAAGGTGGGGCATTAGTGACCATATAGCCCAGTGAATCACACTTGCTATGGCCCTAATGAACTTTGAAAAGAGTTGATGTCCCACCAATGTTTTAATTTCGGTGCGCAATATTATTCTCACTGCATTCCCAGCTTGCATTTCCCCCACCCCTCCTCCCAACATATGATTACTTTCTCCTCAGTCTCAGCCACATGACACACATTCATAACATAACTTAATATGTAGGAGCAGGAGTAGGCCATTCGGCCCTTCGAGCCTGCCCCGCCATTCAATCATGGCTGATCTTCTAATCCAACTCCAGTTAATAACCTGACCCTGCCTTATCCCCATATCCCTTAATCCCTTTTGCAATAAGAAATCTATCTCAGTATGGAATATGTTCAAGGACTGAGCGTCAACAGCCCTTTGGGGTAGTGAGTTCCATACATTCACCACCCTATGAGTGAAGAAGTTCTTCCTCAACTCAGTGCAAAAGGGATGGCCTCTGATTTTAAGGTTGTGACCCCTGGTTTTAGTTTCTCCAACCAGGGGAAACAATCTCTCACTACTCTATCATGCCCTTTGATGATCTTATAGGTTTCTATAAGATCCCCTCTAATTCTTCTATATTAATAATCCTTGCATTTGATATAGAGCTTTTCACGTCAGGAGGACCTCCCAAAGCGCTTCACAGAACACACTGTAAAGTGAATTGACTGTATATTTGTGGGCGAACGCGGCAGCCAATTGCGCACAGCAATGTCCCACAAACAGTCGTAGATTGAAAATGACCAATTTATTATTGTTTTGGGTTTTGGAGGGATTATTATTAGGCGTGTGGAGTAAGGAAACTTGCCCAAGGTTTCGCCCTGCCTGGAATTGAACTCAGGCCTCTCGCTTGCAAAGCGAGTGCTCTAACCACTGAGCTACAGGATATTCTAGAGAATATAGGCCCAAATTGGTCAGCCTATCCTCGTAACTCATCCCCTTCATCCCTGGCACTAACCTAGTAAATCTACGCTGCACCCCCTCCAAGGCAAGTACATCCTACCTTAAATGAGGAGACCAAAACTGGACACAGTATTCCAGGTGTGGTCTCACCAGAGCCCTATACAGTTGGAATGTATCTGAAACTATTTTGTTCAAAGTCTGAAAACAGAACTGCCAAATCTTCTCTGTAATATGGAAGTTGTTTCTACTTACATAAGTCACCCGTCTACTTGCATAAGTCACTCTAATACTGGTGTGCTATTCAAACGGTAATTTCTCTCAGTTGTTATTCTCCGCTAAAAATGACACGAAGAAAGGCATGATATTGTTGTTTTTCTTTGTGGAAGGTAGCAGATAATTAGTTCGAAGGGCATCATCATGTTGCAACTCATGGACATTTCCACGGATGTCATCATTGTTACTTTGTGGTTAGCCCACAAAAAGGGAATTTCATTGATGTGGAAATGTACTCAACTACAGTCAGTTTTGTAGCGCTCTCCAACAGGTATTATGTTAAAGGGCCAAGGCTTGGTCACTTGGGAGGGAAAACTGAGAGAGTACTCTTCATTTTGTTTGGATTGCAATAAGGTGATTCATGTCCATTGTGTTGCAGTGCTTCACAAAACCAGAAAAATATTTTGTAGAACGGTTTCCTCGTAATAGTACTTTAATATAACTTTAATAGGTGTAATTTTGGAGATGGTTTTATGCAATTTATCTACTTCTGGCTCTATATCTGCCTCACTGGGAAAAAGAAAGTACAAGAAATTAAATTTCCTTTATTTATTTTCTTTTATTAAGGTTTATTACTTTCTGAAGAAACCTGTTTTCATAATGGGATTTCCATAATTTGTAACTAAGAACCAAATTCATGGAATGAAACTCGAAAGTTCCTTTGAACTTTATGTTCCATTTATAGTTGAAAACCTAACCATGGAATATAACCATAAAGGTACCACAGCCCAATTAACATTAGTGGTAATATTTAACGTTTTAAATTCAGTTTGGGTGGCGTCGTGTTAAATTCCTTGCATCATTGGGTTCAGAGTTGCCCAAATTCCAACAAAAGCAATGGATAATCTTAGCCCAGTTTCCAGCATTTATAGAATCCACAGCTCAAATCGCTCACATTTATCAATCATCAGTTGCTTGATTTTATACAATCCAGGACAAAGTAGGTTGATTGAAGAATCTAAAATATTACATATAGCAGCTCCCCTAGCCAATATGGCAACAAAAAGTTTAAATAGCAAGGCTTCAGATCAAAAGCAGACTCTTCAAATAGAATTGTTAAAAAGATCATGGTTGACAAATAATCTGTCATTGGTTATTGCACAGCCCGTATTTCTGTGTGTGTGAGAGAGAGGGGTGGGGGGGAGGGATCGATTTACAACTAGAATTTAAAATAAATACAGCCCTACTTGAGTATTGTGTTCTGGGTTGGTAAAGGTAAAACGATGGGCAATAAAATTAATTCATGAGATTGGGCACCTGAGCTTTGAGGAGAGATTGCATGCAGAAGCTGGCAATGTTTACAGAGCATTGAATAGATGATTGAAGAGGTGAACGTATTTCTCTTCCAGCTCCTAAACAATAGAGATAAACTTGTCTCCATATTCAGTATGATCAAGAGGTCTACAAGATGGGGTCATGGTCTAAATTCATTAACGGGTGGATAGAAAAACAGTTTTGAATATTATAAGTACATTTATCATTTTGTTCATGAATAATAAATAGTGTGAACAGCCAGGGTCCAGATCAAATGGCCTCTAGAGAACTCTACTTGTCACTGCTACATGCATTCCCATCCAGCAACCAAATTTACCAATATTCCTGAGACCTTTTCTTCTCTAAAAGTGTTACACAAAGAAGTTTAGCAAACATTTTGTAAAAGTTTAAGTAAATTTTATCCACTAGATAGATCTTGTTTGCTAGTTTAGTTACCTCCTCAAAGACTGCCAAAAGATTTGTGAGGGTTGATCTATTTGTGAGGGATGATCTTATGAGAGATGATCTATTTAATAAAACCGCGTTATCAATTTAATAACACTCTTCACGGTCTCCATGATTGTTAGATAAATAGCAATAGTATCCTGTGCAACCATTTGAGCATATCTCCACCATCAGCATTAGATTAATCAGTCTAAAATTCCCAGCTTCACCTCTCA